GCTGGTCCAAGACGGTCGGAGGGAACGACTAGAGACGGTCGAAGGGAGCGACTCGGGACGGTCAGAGGAAGCGACTGGAGACGGTTGGAAGGAGCCGTTAGAGACTCGACCGTCTCACCAGAAGACCCGCCGCATTTGACCTTACACAACAGGAAGGCATTTCGCCGGGATGCAGACATGGCTCGGCAGACTCCGGGCATTCGCGGACAAATTATCAGCAAATAAGAGTCCGTTTTTCGTACAAGGTTGAATTTTTGGATCTTAGACATATCGAAGACAAATCATTTAACCAATTAAGATATATTAAAAGTTGATAAAGTTATTTGCCAGACCCTTGGAAGCAATATCTGAGGACTAGTGCAGTCGCGGCTACAGGCGGTCGGCGATCGGATAGAGGGAGAAGAGCAACAGCCGGGCTTTTGAGGGCCAGATAACATGTCAGCGGGTGGGGCGAGTTACGGGTTGGCATTTGGGAAGCAGCTGGGTGCCAAGTGTCGGTTGAAGCCATCGGGCTCGCTCCGAGGGGTCTGAACCACAGAATACCCACTGGCCCTCAGGTAAGTGGTCCGGTGAGAACCAATGCAATCTTCAGTAACAGCAGCTTTCCGCTCCGTTGGGACCCGGCTCGTCTGGTGATGCAAGTGTATTCGGCGAAAATTACGGTGCGCAGAATCAATATCCCTTGGTATACCGATCACAGCCAGACGCGCTGAGAGCAGCACGACTTACGTAACCCGCACCAGCAATACACAGCGCTGCGTCACATCTTCGCAACAGGAAGCCCTCCCAGAAGGAGGGGACTGTGGGTGGGCCGGTCCGGGGCATCGGGGCGGAAACTCACGTGTCCCCGCTTGAGACCGAGGTCGCGAAACGCATTCTATCCCCAGCCTATTTCCTACATTTTGATGGTTACCCGGTCGGCAGCAACAGTCCCCCTCCCATCTCATCCCATCCCCCCAGCTCGGATACGGGCAACCATCACAGTCAGTTGTTTATACTCAGCGCGGCCACCGAGCACTACAGTACACAGTGCAGGCTGGCCTCGCACAGCCAGACGCGCGCTGGCGCTCGCGGCGGGCTACCCGACACAGGATATCGACATTCACTCTGCACGTACAACACGCCGAGCAGCCGGAGCCCCGGCGCAAAACAACACCGCCGCGCCGCGATCATCCGCCTGGTGTTAGAGAGTGACGTACGAGGAGAGCCTTGACCCGAGGCGTGCGCCGTTTGACCTTTGCCAGCTGGCCGGCTGAGAGATGGCCGCCCCCGGACGGCCGCCGATGACCGCCGTCCCGGACTTCCCGTATCGCGACGCCTCGGCTGACCGGCCGGCCGGCCGCGGCCTGCCGCCGGCGCGCCCCGAGCACGGCATCGGCCGCGCGTGACGTCACCCGTTGAGCCGGTGACGTCAGCGGCGCTAATCCGCCGTGCTCCGCTCTGCCGGCGCGCCGACGGCAGTCAGCCGGTGGGCAGGCGGCCGCGGGGAGAGGCTGAAGGGGGGGGGGGGGGGGTAACGGTGACGCGCGACCAGCAGCGTGGCGGCGCCCAGCGCGTGCGGCGCCTGCCGTGGATCGTCGCTTGGCCGGGTGCCGCGGATCACAGCTGAGGCGGTGGCCTCCGCACACCTGCCGGCCGTCGGCGCGGTCACGCTGTCAATCCAGCCACTATGGCCCACAACCATGCATCCGTATCGTTCTAGCGGATGCGCAAAATGTTGCCACAGTTTTTTTTGTGAGAGCCTTTGGGAGAACCCCCACCCATTCCCAGCGAGCTAAATGCAAAAGCCGGCCTCGCACCGTAAGAGGATATTCCTTGAGAAGTATTACAGACCTGCCAGCCTGATAAACCGAGCCAGCCATAAATCCATTAAAAAAGATACTGACTAAGGGTGTTGACGATGACAAGAATGATGACACGTGGAACATGCTCACGATATTTATGCCCGAGACGAGTTCAGAGAAGTGTGTAACAAAGATTGTACGGCCATGAAGAGCATTAGCCCCTTCACCTGGTTTCCAATTGAATAGTTCCTCAGATATCGCAAACATGAAAGTACTTGAGTAGTATACTTCACGTGACAAGCAGAACTGGAACATTACCTCCAGTAACATCAACCCGGCACTCGTCGCCCAACGAGGCCGCCGCCTGCGGTGAGGTCTGTACGGCAGCTGGCAGCGGGCTGGCCGCGAACCTCCGCGCCCGGCGGACCGGCGCGGTGCCTGACAGGTGTCAGCTCCGCGCGGCCCCCGGGTCACGCCCCACTCGCAGCGACTCTAACGACATCCCATCACTGGCACGGCGACTCGCGCATCGCGCGGTGTTCTACGCAGCGCGACGACACGCGCCGCGGGTCCGGCGGAACCAACGGCGACGAGTCCCGCAATAGAGGCCGGGCGCGACGCCGTCAGCGTGCGCTCCTCGGCCGGCCGCTGGCGCGCGGCGGGCGGCGGGCGGCGCCGGCCGGGACCGGGGCGCCGCTGGCGGAGCGGGCGAGGTGGCGCGGCCGCGTCTCAGCCCGGCTCGTGACGCACGCTGTCCGCATGCCGCCGCTATCGGCCGCATCAGCCCGCTAAGAGGATTGGCGGCTGCCGACGGGGCGCGGGCGGCGGCCGGAGGTGCGGCGGGCGGAGCGCGTCCCACCGGGGCTGCCCGCGGCGCCGTTCGCGGCCGAGCTCGCTCGGCCTGCAGGCGGACTCGACCTCACCGCCTCGCCGCCGGCGCAGCTGGCGGTCATGTGGGACGGGCCTCGACGGTCGGTGGAATCTTAATCCGAACGGGCTCGACTCTTTCAGCCAGGTTTGGACGAGACCCGCAGGCGTATCCGGGGAGCGTGCCTTGCCCCAGATAGCATCGACCAAGACCCATACATGGGAACGGCAGATCTCGCAGATGGGGAGTGGTAAAACCAACACATTTCATTGAAAGTCAATAAAATTCGACGCCGAGCCTCAGGAATGATGCCGGTTACTTCTAGACGTTGACAAGCCCGCCGAGCCGCAAGCGTGACGTCATCAAGCAAACTCTGCACATGAACCCCATCCAGCTGTATAATGGAACCGACAGTATCACCCACATCAAGCCTGTCGTCTCTTACATCCGGTGCCAAACTCATCGTACGGAGTGCGTGGCGCAACAGAAATCGCACCGGCTGAGCACTCCAGCGCGAGCGCTGGCTGAGCACTTCAGGCGAGCACAGGCTGAGCACTCCACGCGAGCACTGCCTGAGCACTCCACACGAACACCGGCTGAGCACTGCCACGACAGCACCGGCTGAGCCCTCCATGCGATGCCGGATCGGCCTCGTCGCCGGACCCCGTAGCGAGCCGTGGAGCGCCCTGTTCGATCGTGGCTTGGCTGTCGCTGTCGCCCCCACACGACAGTCTCGCGCCCGAGCGCCGGCCGGCGGCGCCCCATCGTGCCCGTCCCACGCCTAGCCACCAATCACACGTTCCACACAGCACACGCCAGGCCCACTCAATTGGTCCCTTCGCCTCGCATGCAGGTACATGCAGGTGTCGTCACCACTAGCATAACACCTCAGTAGTTGGATTCGCCCAGGCGATACTGATACCGCCATGGCCGATTACCTCGAAGGCATCCGCACATTTTTCAACGACGTAGTATCAATACTGACTGACGAAGCACGACCAGGTCAACAATAGAACGAGTGCATTGGCGCAGAAACAAAGGATCGTGGGGTCATTGTCTCGCATGCCTTTGTTTAATGTAAACCACATCAGGATGAAAAAGAATCTACTGCAAGATTGTCATTGCTTCCCTCCCACTTTCTGAGACGTTCCCACGTGTATGAACGAACGCAATCTACAGCATTTCCCAATACTTTGTTTTCTAATATCCCACTATCCATAATCATCTATTATGAATATCCTTTTTGCTCGTTCCGTTCCCTCAACAAGAAAAGCACCCCACATTTACTCCACACAAGCAGGAGTTGTGGGATTAGAGGCACCTTGTTGTCCCTCCTGTTCACATCCAGAGCATATCAGTTAACACAAATACGCGCCTTATTTCTGGCTGATAATCAACTGCTGCGTTATCAGTAGTTGGTTATCAGCATGCAGCATGCGACAACTCAAACATCGGGTCTGAACTTCCTGCAGCCATGACTCATTTTGTCTTCTCTGTAGTGTATCCATGCAGACGTAATCATTTAAGCCTCCGTATGGTGCTGCACACGCACACCGGCAATGAGGCTGGCGCGTATTTTCCTTCTGAGTTCCTCTACCTTCTAAGCAAACAAAATCACCAGTCTATCAAAGAATCCTACCAGATGAACGACCGCTGCTGATACAGTTGCCATCCCTACGCCTTGCAATGAGGGATTGTGAACAATTCATCCGCTACTCTGGCGTTAGTGGCAGAGGGTTCCCGCATATTCCGTTGGTCTTCCGCATATCACCCATGCTCGCATACCAAGAGCAGCGTCGGCCATAACGCTGCGCTTCCCCACGGACCAACGGCCATTCGGAGCCTGCTGCCACAGACCGTGCTCTCGCTCCGCAGCGGCCGACCGACCGGCCGGACCGAGCACGTGTCGGCCGGGCCGGACCGGATAAGTGTCGGCCGGGGCGGACAGGGTACGTGTCGGCCAGGCCGGACCGGGTACGTGTCGGCTGGGCCGGACCGCGTACGCGTCGGCCGGGTCGGACCAGGTACGTGGCCACCGGGCCGGACCGTGTACGTGTCGGCCAGGCCGGACCGGGCACGTGTCGGCTGGGCCGAGTCGGGCACGCGCCGGCCGGGTCGGACCTTGTACGTGTCCGCCGGACCGGGCCGGGCACGTGTCGTCCAGGCCGGGCCGGGCGCGCGTCAGCCGCATCGCGTCACAATGGTAGCCATCCAACACACGGCGCCATACAAACGTCCGGTCGCAGGTCACACCGATGCACGGCGGACGCGCCGGCACCGATAGTGACAGAAGACGGCGATCGGCATACCACCGGCGGCGTTACGCCGAGACGGACCCTCTCCCTCACCTGGGATCCGGCAGGACAATCTTCTTGCTGGCCCGAGCCGCCGGAGTCGACTTGGACTTCTCCATGGCCATAAGGTAGCTGACGTCGGCCAGCACCGCCTCCAGGTCCGCCATGGCTGCGGCCTCGGGTCACGCCGCGCGCGCTTCTGGGTTACGAGGTTTGAGTCGCACAATTACATCTGCCGGCAGACGAGGAGGCGCGGCGTGACAGACACCGAAGCGCGGTGCACACAACGACCAACTAACCCAAGTCCCGCGCAGTGATGGCCAGACGGCGCGACAAACCACGTGCGTCACGCGGCACACCGGCTTTTCATTAAGCATGCTTGGGTCGGGACGGCCAACGGGTTTCCGCGAGCCACCCGACGTCACCCCAACAAGCCGCGGGCCCCAGACTAGCAAACCGCAGACTGGCAGTCCCGCATCCACGCAAAATGGCCGTGGAAGGCACTGTCCCGGGGCACGGTCGACGTCACCAGGCGACCCGTCGAGCCGCGGCGGCCGGCCGGCGGCGGCAGCTTGCGTGGGCAAGGCAGACATTGGTGTCGTGTGATCCGGTCGGCCGGCGCCCGTGATTGCAGTGGCCTCGACGGACGACGGCCCGGCCTTCTCGGAAGGCGCCGCTACCGGGCGCCGCTGCCGGGCGCCGCCGCCTACCGACGGTCCGACGGCGCACGGCCCGCGTCCCGGACGGCAGACGGCCGACGCCCCCCGTCCGGATCAAAAGCCTGCACTGCATCCGGACGGCCTCCGGACTGCATCCGGACTGCACCCGGACACAGCGGTGGCCAGACGGCCGCTGGCCGCCGCCACCCGTCCACTGACGTCAGCCGTGTATTTTGTTACGCCTCTGTGTATATTAAGACGCTCCATGCACAGCAGGGCATTTCACTGGTGGCAGAGGATTTTGAGCCGTGACATGGCTAGCGAACGCTTCGAATGGCTCGCGGACGCTTAATGCGACGGGGCAAAGTGTTGCATTCAGAAAGCAAGATCTCGTTTCGCTGGCCCATGGTGGGCTTTGCATTAAACGGAGTGTTCCATATTTGAAGATATTGAAGCAAGCATCAAATATGATGAAGTAGGCTAACTTACCTGTATACTTACTTGTATATATAACTAATGGTATACTTTCAAGTAAAAAAGACTGCTCAAGACAACACAAATTCTCTATTTAGTAGATACGCTCCTCAACTGCGCACGAACGCCAGATATGAACGACTCGACAATCATACTTCTCTTGGCCTTGATCGCCGCATGGCCATTGGAACGACAGGATTAGAGTGACGTTTTTATGGCGTCATGGATGCCTGGGCGACCTTGAAATAGTCTGCACGAAATACTCCGCACATTTTTGCGCACATGTAGCTCAGGAACTACAGGGTTTTAGTTCTTACGAGGAACCGGGTTGTGAACTACAGCGGATGATCAAGATGACTATTTCAGTTCAAAACCCCATACAAGTGTGGCACGCTCCTTTTAACGACCACCAAGGGATCACTTTGATCACCGTGCGGGAATGGGCTGAGGTTCCAAGTCTGAATAACAGCGACTCTCAACCGCATTTACTGTTTAACCTCGCAACGGGAGACATTTCGTAGCAAGTTAGGGCATCAGGGCCAAACCGAACCCATATAATCTGCACTTTTGGTGGCATCGTTGGTCATTAGAGATCAGATCAGATGGTATTACCATACAGTGAGATCGCGTCAGCAACGGCAACATTTTCTCCCATTCAAAATCACTTGATTTCGCTGAGAACTAAGAAAGCAATACTGCCACGCCAAGAACACTTATAACGAGCTTCTACCACGTAGATTTCACGTGGTCAAAAACTTACAATAGTCCGATAGCAATGGTCCTGCGATGTAGCATGTTATAATGCAACTTAAAATTGTTCAATGACCGCGCGTGGCATGGGCGGTTCGTCATGCGTGGACCATACGACTAGAGCATACAACACGAAAACACCTAAAACCGAATCCACAGCAAAACATAGATTGTCGAGGGCCAACCAATCGATAGTCGCTACTGCATTCCGGCACGGCGCGTGCGACGCGCACGGGAAAACCAGAAGGGCACGCGCTGCCCAGCGCGTGCCCTGTGGGTAACCTCTGTACGCTTTATACGCTCAGCTGCAAGCCCTGGGCCGGTGAGGCGGGATGGCTACAGTCTCGTCGCTGTTTCTCAGCAGAACGGCGACAGCTGGTAACGACAGGCTCATCTGTTGCTACTGACTGCAGTAGTCAGCCGCGTGGAGAGCGTTTCTGCGCACTACCCACCAAGCTTGCTCCAACGGACCCGACCATGCGCAAGTTCCGTTACCATCGAAAGCGTCCACATCATTGGAACTAGGACGGCTACAAGGATCAAACACGACATTCGACAGCGCGTCTGTGTATCGGACTCCATCGTGGCCGCCCACATCACGCACCGGCGACGTAACTGTCTGCTGCCGGGAGCGGCGGCACCCGCGGCCGGCGCCCATCACAGCCGCACCGCCTCTCCGACGCCGCCGTGCCAAGGGCAGGCGGCAGTGGCGCCCGTGACCGGCCGTCACGATCGCCCACGTGTTTTCGCGCCCAGCAAGTCGCACGCCGCTAAATCATGCCACCAGTCCGCGCGCGCGTGCCACCAACGGCTTCGGCGGCGCGCGGCGGCAACGGCGCCGTTTCGTTGCGGCGGCGCGCGACGACGGCCGGAGTGAGCCAGCGGCCGCGGTTGGCCGCGCCAGCCGCTCGCGACGCTCGACGCACCACCCAGGTGCCGCGGTTGGCCGCGCCAGCCGCTCGAGACGCTCGACGCACCACCCAGCTGCCGCGGTTGGCCGCGCCAGCCGCTCGCGACGCTCGACGCACCGCCCAGCTGCCGCGGTTGGCCGCGCCAGCCGCTCGAGACGCTCGACGCACCGCCCAGGTGCCGCGGTTGGCAGCGCCAGCCGCTCGAGACGCTCGACGCACCACCCAGCTGCCGCGGTTGGCCGCGCCAGCCGCTCGCGATGCTCGACGCACCGCCCAGCTGCCGCGGTTGGCCGCGCCAGCCGCTCGCGATGCTCGACGCACCGCCCAGCTGCCGCGGTTGGCCGCGCCAGCCGCTCGCGATGCTCGACGCACCGCCCAGCTGCCGTGGCGAACCTCGAGCCGGCTCGGCGGGCGCAGGGCGGGGAGGCGACGGCGCGCCCCTTCATTAGCGGCGCCTCTGAATCATGGCACGCCGCCGCCGAGGCGGGCCCCGCGACGGCGGCGGCGCCGAGGCCGTCCTCGCGGAGGCGGCAGCGCTTGTGCGGCGCTTGAGGTAGCGGGATCGATGTGCTCCGGCGGCCGCGCCCGCCCGCCGTATCAGCTGAGCTAGCCAGCCGAACGGACTGCCGTCGGCACGTGTCTTCACGGGGATGAGATCACCAACTGTGTCATCGGAGCAGACAGGGATTCCAACAGGACGTGTCATCGCGGAGGACAGAGGAGTCCAACGGACCGTGCCGTCCGGTGGAGCCCGAGACGTTCGCCGGGCAGTGTCACTAGAGGAGACAGAGGAGTCCACCGGCCTGTGTCGTTACACGGAGTGGAAGAGCTCACCGAGCCTTGTACCGCTTGTACTTGTACCGACGGAGATGCCCCTCCGACCTTGTCATCAGGAGATAAGGAGACAAGGAGTCAGCACTACGGGGGACAGAGGAGATCACCGGACCGTGTCATCACACGGGATGATGAAGGAGCGTGATATTCGATACGACAGGGAGGCACCAGACCATGGACCGACGAATCACCCCATCATAGGAAACGGAGGAGCTCACCAGACCATGTCAGGGAGCAGGAAGGTGTTTACCAGACAGTGTTATCAGAGGCGGCGGAGGAGCTCACCAAGCCATGTTAGGGAGCAGGGAGGTGTTTACCAGGCAGTCTTATCAGGGGTGGCGGAAGGGCTCACCAGACCGTGTCAGGGAGCAGGGGGGCGTTTACCAGACAGTGTCATCAGAGGCGGCGGAGCTCACCAGACCGTGTCAGGGAGCAGGGGAGCGTTTACCAGAGTGTCATCAAAGGCAGCGGAGCTCACCAGACCATGCCAGAGAGCAGGAAGGCGTTTACCAGACAGTGCCATCAGAGACAGCGGAGCTCACCAGACCATTCCAGAGAGCAGGAAGGCGTTTACCAGACAGTGTTATCAGGGGCGGCGGGGCCCGCCGCACCACGTCAAAAGAGCAGGAAGGAGCCCAACTGATCGCATCAGAGAGCAAGCAGGGGTCCACCAGACCATCTCAGACCACCTCAGAGAGCAGGGAGAACTCCCCGGACCGTGTGATCAGGGGTGGCTGAGGAGGCCACTGGACCGTGTCAGGGAGCAGGGGGTGACACAACGGGCCATGTCATCAGAGACGGAGGAGCAGCCACCCCGACTGTGGCGTGAATTTAGAGGCGGGGCACCGAATGATGGTCGTTGTTCCATAAAGGTCGTATTTCTCTGATGCATCATTGAATATACCCGCATTGCTTGAATTTATTATTTTGACAATAAAGGCGCCGCTCAAAGAAGTGCGCAGCAACAAATCGTGAACTGTTCTGGTCAACAAAAGCTTGGTACATTTGAACAAGAGCCCGCGGGCACTTCTCGAGCCTAGGCCGGGTCGCTCGCTGAGTTCGCGGGTAAAAAGGTTGTAGATCCGCCATAAACGGGCGTCGATTTGTACTCTTTTAGGGGGACCACTGCCCCCCCCCCCCCTGGCTGGTTTGACTCCCCAACGGTGAGGACAAGCAGGGCATTAAATATGGAACGCCAAAATCACATCAACTTTACAGAAGGTTTCCAGTGAATGTTGCACAGGTAAAACGAACAAATAAAATGAAAACAGCGACGTCACTTTCAGTTGAGGGCACTTAAGTGAGCTAGCCGCACTGTCAAAGCTTCGTGCTCTCGCCGAGATTACTCTCATAACTTACAGTACCGCACCGTAAACGTACCGTACTTTTTGCATGATGCATGATTTCAGTTACACGATTAATACGCCTTGTATACTCTGCTATAGTTGCGTGCTATTGCCTGCGCGTCTTGACACTGTTCAGTACTGTTTGGAGTTTCACAGACCGCAGGAGGTTGTGTTCTTTGCCACAAGCAAACCGGTCAAACCTTATCACCTAAAAATGTGAACAAATTAAGAGCCGATAACGTTAGAAAAAAAAACACA